ACAGCCCATAACCATTATTCAAGAGCCACTTTGCAGTGAGTTTCATAGTAGCTTTTGTCCATCCAAATCCTTAAAGCACTGGTGTGCAAAAGTCAGTATTGGTGGGTGACCAATTTCCCAATAGTCAAGGCCTTCTAATACTTGCATATAACTAACTTCAAAATAATCTACACTCACTGTATGTGACTGTTTCTTTTAGAGGGGACAAGGTGGCTGAGGACTGCAAATGCTACTGTTGGAGAGAGAATGTGGGAATGCTCTTCAGTATTTGTTTACTGGATATGGAAATACATTCCAGGAAAACTGTTGTTTGTAATCCTCTGTGGTATCTTCGTACAAGAAAAAGAAATCTTTTAAAAATGCAATCTTCAGAGTGAAATTCAAGCACATTCTGTACCTGTTTTCAAATAAAGTGTCCTCTGTTCTTTTTTATTTTTTCAAAACATTGTAAACTCCAGCTTGTCATTCCTACCAACACAACACCAAAACAGTCCTTCCAGGAATTCTTATCAGTCTTACTGAAGCATCTGGTACATGAAGGACCTCTAAAGTTATCTACAAAGGTACTTTTACCAGACCTCAATACAGCCAGATAAAAATTCTCAGTTTTCTTTAGAGCCTGTGGGTGGATATGGGAGGAGAGAACTTTTTCCACATTTGGATAAGGAATAATTAGACATTTACAACAGTTTGAATCATGTCTTCATAGGAGAAAGATCAGGAGAAGTAGGTCTGTCTGTTGCAAGAGTGTATCTGGGGCTTAGGTTAGACCAAAAATTGCTTAGAGACAGTTCAGCCACTCCTGCCTAAAGTGCCTTTATACCATGAAAGCTTTTTTCCTGATATTTCCACTGTCAGTATTGTCTTGCTTGAATAATTCTTCCTCCCCCATATTTTGTTTTCTAGAAAACAGGCTAACACCTTCCAGGGGAAGATTAAAAAGGGTTGTTTTGTTTTGATTTGTTGTTTAATTCCTTAATTGGATGTATTTTTCAAATTCCCAACTTGAAAACTAAGGTTAATTAGGAGGCCTCTGCTACATTACATTAAGAACTTAAATACAAGGGGTCATAGAAATGAGTGCTCTCCGGTGTTACCAGCTGTGGAACTGCTGTTGCCTGTATATTTTGGCTATGGATTTTTGTAAAGCAGATACACAGGTAACATGATTGGCAATCAGCTAAGACCAGTTATAAAATCAGACCCAAAGGATGCTTTCAGTAATGCCTTGGGAATGGTTGCAAGGACTTCAGAGCACTTGGAGAAAAGCTGTTTTTCAGCACAGGTGCTTCTCTTCCTTTGTGTGTAGATGATACACATCTTTAACTGCTGTGACTGTCAGAAGATGATCAGCTTGTTCTGTGGAAGCAAATGTGTCATTCAGAACTCTGGTGGGTAGTTTAAAGGTGCTTGGCCTGGCCCAGGTGAGACAGAGACAAAGAACAGGATAACATGGTCAGGAGGGGTGTTTGTGTGCAACAATTCTTGGTGTTTGGATGGATCAGTCTGGGTTTCTTGTGCAAGTTTTAGTACCATACTGCTCTCAAACAAAGGATTTATGGCAGACTTGCAGACTTTGACTTGCTGTAAAAAGTGGCAGGGGTGGGGATGGAACTGCTTATCAGATCAGTCAGGGGTAATTTGAGTCAATCTTAAAGAAGAGAATTGTTCAGATTTCAGAACTACTGTAGGCTTGTTGGCTTTCCTGGCATATGCCTAACTATTCTCCAGAATCAGGAATTAATATCTAATAAAAACACATGGTCAGAAATAATACTTAATACTTCTTTCATTCCTTTTGAAAATCAAGGAAATCGAATTGTCTTCTGTAGTAGTTTGAAATTATTAGCTCGTGTGCCTTCTATGCTTGCAGATGCCATGTAATACAGCCTAGTGCAAGGTCTGGAATTGATCTTCACACGAGTTTTTTAATACATAGTCTGAAACACCCCAACCTTATTTAAACACCAAGCTGATGATGCTTGCTATGCAAGTGGATGGTCTCATGGGGCAGGAGGAGCTTTTTGAGAAGAGTCCCATAAGTGCTAGCAGTACATTCATGTCAACTGTATAACATAATATTGATCAGAATTCCCGCTTCTGGGCGCCTGCTAGCCTTTAAAAACTGAAGCTTGCAGCTGTGCTGAACTTTGTTTGTAAAGTATACTGAGGCCTTCTGTCTCTGCCTGATGGTTGAGATGTGTTTGGCTGATCTTGTACTGATCCGTTTTGTCACGAAAATGAGCAGCACAAGTGTTTGTAGGGCAAGCCTGGTGGTGTTGCTCCCTTTGCAAATGTGTTGGTTAACCTTGAGAGTGGCAGACAGGAAAACAAAGTCAGCAGCTTGCCTGGACTCAGTTTACCCCTTTTTGAAACTTCAAAAGAACGTGAAGGAAAAGATGAGAGAATGTTTAAGTGCAGAAAACCTAAAACCAAACCCTATCTACTTTTGTTTGGCAGTTTGAACTTTTAGGATTAAACCCAATTCCCTATCTAAATAATAAAAAAAAAACTACCAGAAATTGCTGGGGGGCTACAGGTGTGTGAAACGCAGATCAGAATGTTGGAACTTGCAGATGCAGCTAGCAGGCTGATCAAGGGTCAGCATTCCAAAGACTGAATGTCACTGGTAATGCATTTCTGAACACTGTTTTGTAGATGTTCTTCAGTGTTGTTTTGGAAGAATGCTGCTGTTCAGTGGCTGCTCTGGTCTGTTCCATTTTACCTAATGGTAGACCTGCTCTTCTGATCTCTTCAGGCTGCTGAAATTGAAACTAATTCCAGAGTGCAGGTGCTATAGGCTAGTTGCCTTCATTGATGCAGAATTCAGCAGTGGAGAAAATTATAAATGTTCTTCCCAAGCCCCTTATTGCGTATGGAAATCTCAGGTGGTAGTAAATGTCTCAAAGCACAGTCACTGCTCGTAACACAGTGGTAGATGAAACAGTCGACTTGAAAACCAGTTTAGTGATCCTTTTTTTAGCTAGCATAGTCCTGATGGGAAGAGATGGGAAAGTTTTGGTAAAAATAAATCTTTTTTGTGCTAAGCATATTGAAAATTTCATATAGCAGCTAGAACATGCCAAATTTTTTATCGGAAGTGTCACATCTGACTTAGAGTGAGGACTGCAGGGAGCAAAGATACAAATTTTACTGTTACTGCTACTCCCTTTCTGTTTGGAAGGTGTTAATGGTACTCACAAAGTAATGCAGAAGACCTGCAAAGAGCTATCAAGCTTTTGTATAGGCACTTGCTCAACTTAGCTACTCATTAGAATTTTTTAATCAATGGTGAACTGACTTAAGTTTTTCTTACTCCTTGCCACTACTACTCTCAAACTCCTAACAGCATGTTGGAAGAATCCATGGGTAAGGGCTTGGAAAAAGTGTCTGTATTTTCAGCACATCCTCCATGCCCATTGTCAAGAGCAGATTCTGAGTTGGCCAGTCTCTTCCAGGCTGTGGAGAAGGACCACTTTAGAGTTTCCAGCTGCACAGCAGGATGCTTATTGTATGTTGTGTAATGTCTTATACCAGCTTAATGCTGTTTATCTGCTGCAGATGCAGATCTACTGCCCATTTTAAAAGAGCCAGGGAAGGGTTGCTGCCAAAAGTTGTGGGAGTGCAGTCAGGACAAACAGCACTGGCATTTGTACAGCCAAGCAACAAGATTGCTCAGGAGCTGTTGGAGTATCCTGCAGCTGGCTCAGTGTCAGTGAAATATAAGTTTGTCCCATCTATCCAGTGAGACTTTTAAAACTGCAGGCCTGCCCTTGGTTTAATTACGATTTTCAGAAAGGTGCTCCTGAAGGAAACTCTCAAACTGGGAAATCTGTCTTTACACAAATCCTGCAAACTCAGGTGGACTTTGTTCTCCTGACACAGCACTGCAGACCTGTCCTTTCAGGGATTAGTGTACTGCCTTTACTTCATTGTGCAGGAATGTTTGGATCAGCACAGCTCTAACACCTAACAGCACAGTGAAAGCTGATTGCTGCAAGAGATGGTTTTGCTCCCTGCACAAGCTCCCACTACAAATGTCTCTGCTTGGCTGGCTCCCAGAATAGGCTGTCACCAGCTCTGTGTCTGTGCTGGAAACAGTGTGGGACTGTGGGGGGAAGGGGAGCAAATTAATTAAAAGTGACCTGTTGTGGAGCAGTAGCCTCAAATTTCTCTTTCTGGGTTAGTGAAGAGACAGGTACAGATTTGTGGTACAAATACTTCCAAACTGCTTGGTGATATCAAATGGAGGTTCATAGTGAAAATTTATATAGGGCATTTGATCATATTTCAGCCTTCTTGCCCCCAGTTACCTTGGTTTTCTGGGCAAACAATAAAAGTGAGTTTGGGGACTCAGTGTGTGCTCAACTCAAGGACAGGTTTTTTGGGTTTTTTTTTTTAATAACGCTGGTTCCACTTTTAGTTTTAACTTCAAGGAAGAGTTTTTTGTAGGAAGAAGCCTTTATTATGGCACAGGGAGGGAATAAAGGAGGAGGTGCAGTTATAACTCTTTAGGTAGTCTTTGTGCCTTACATGGTCATTTAAGCTTTCCTCATGAAAATTCATGTTGTAGCCCTGTATCAGACAGTTTTTCTGGTATCTTCTGAGTAGTTTATCTTTGAGGGAAATGAGGAAGTGTGACATTTAGGCATTGTCTTCGTGGCATTTCCAACCTCTGGAATTTAATGTCTGGACTTCATCTTATGCAAAGGTAGAGGAGTGAAAAATAGCTCTGTGATGGTCAGTCTTCAGTTCTTGTTCTCTTGCAGCTCTGAGAGAATATCTTACACATAACCTGACAGAAGGTCTGGGTGGTACATTGTGTTCTTTTGCATGTCTGTCCATGGGGGTTTGCTAATTAGCATTTGAGTATACTCACTGTAGTAATGAAATGGCAAGATGTGCCAAGTCTTACTTTGCAATTCCAGTGTTCTAATGTGAAATCCTGTCTTACTAGTTCTGATTAGTGTATAATAAGTTCTAACCTTGCTCTTTTTTAGGATCTCTGAAAGGGTGCAAGAAAGAGTTCTGAGAGCATAACAAGGAACATGGCAACTCAAGGTACATAATGCGTTACAGTTTCTATTACAAGAATTTAGAAGACTCCTTACCCCTGTCTTTTTAACTTTTCATAATCACTTAGGTTTACATGTGTGCATTGGTTCAACATAAAGCTTCAGTTTAAAGTTGCTGCTTACTTGCAGTGCTGGGTTGAGGAAGTTATTTATAACAGCTTATTTTAATTTAAAATCTCTGTCATCTCTTGTAGGATTAATACATGCTGGAGTAATTGAACTAAACTTAATTGTTCACCAATGATTTCTTACAGCTGACTTGATGGAGCTGGATATGGCAATGGAGCCAGACAGAAAAGCAGCAGTCAGTCATTGGCAGCAGCAGTCATATCTGGACTCTGGTATCCATTCTGGTGCCACAACAACTGCTCCCTCCTTGAGTGGCAAGGGAAATCCTGAAGAAGAAGATGTGGACACAACACAAGTGCTGTATGAGTGGGAACAGGGCTTCTCTCAGTCCTTCACCCAGGAGCAAGTTGCGGGTAAGGCCTTTTCTATGACACCAGTTTGCTTGGACAAGCAGTTTAGTAATACAGAAGCCTAACTACTCAATTACTGCCAATCTGGATGACGAGCTTTTTATCCCTAGTTTGAGATTACTATGACTTCCCTTCTTTTCAGATATTGATGGCCAGTATGCAATGACTAGAGCTCAGAGGGTGCGTGCAGCTATGTTCCCTGAAACCCTGGATGAAGGAATGCAGATCCCATCCACGCAGTTTGATGCAGCTCATCCAACTAACGTGCAGCGCCTGGCTGAGCCATCCCAGATGTTAAAACATGCTGTTGTTAATTTGATAAACTACCAAGATGATGCTGAACTTGCAACTCGTGCCATCCCAGAACTGACCAAACTGTTGAATGATGAGGACCAGGTAAGTATTTTCTTTGTCTGGGTAAAGCTTGCTTGTGGGGCACCTTCAATGACCTTGAAACTAACAGCTTTATTCAAACACTTGTGGTAGGTGGTGGTGAACAAGGCTGCAGTTATGGTTCATCAGCTGTCCAAAAAGGAAGCGTCTCGCCACGCCATTATGCGATCTCCTCAGATGGTGTCTGCCATCGTGCGTACCATGCAAAACACAAACGACGTGGAGACAGCCCGGTGTACTGCAGGGACACTACACAACCTCTCACATCACCGTGAAGGCTTGTTGGCAATCTTCAAATCAGGAGGCATCCCTGCTTTGGTTAAAATGCTGGGGTACGTGTGCCACTGAGGCAGTACTTGTGTTTTGCAGTTGGGTCCACTAGGAGCAGATACTCATGAGGATTTTCCCATCTTTAGGTCCCCAGTGGACTCTGTGCTGTTCTATGCCATTACAACTCTTCACAATCTCCTGTTACATCAGGAAGGAGCCAAGATGGCTGTCCGTCTCGCTGGTGGGCTGCAGAAAATGGTGGCCTTGCTCAACAAGACAAACGTCAAATTCTTGGCCATCACAACAGACTGCCTTCAGATTTTAGCGTATGGCAATCAAGAAAGTAAGGTAGGTGCCTCTGGTGCTGAAGTAGTTAAAATGAGCAAGCTTGTGATGAGTGGCCTGACAGTTCTTTTGTACTGACCTCCTGACTCTGAATCTTCAGCCACATGCCACTGGCTTTTGCCAGTCATTCCTGACCTTGCAAGAGGGGAGGGATACAGGAACTGTCTTGCAGAAATGCTGCTGTGCTTATAGGGAGGTTATAAAACAGTCCACATAAGCAGATGGGAATTTTTTCTTTAGGGAACTGTAACCATGAAGGGTGTAAGCTAACAACGTTTACTACCTGCTGACATGTGTAGGAAGTGACAGACAAATATTATTTTTGCTGTCTTTCAGCTGATCATTCTGGCAAGTGGCGGACCCCAGGCTTTAGTAAACATAATGAGGACCTATACTTACGAGAAACTGTTGTGGACCACAAGTAGGGTGCTGAAGGTGTTGTCAGTCTGCTCCAGCAACAAACCCGCTATTGTTGAGGCTGGTAAGTACATTGTACTCATTCTAACTTAAAAATCTACATAGTGCTTTAGGATCAGTTCATTCCACCAAGGACAGAAGCTGCCAGCATCAAAAAATGAACTTGGCTTGGTCCTTAAGTCCATAACCCGTTTTGGAGGCCTTTAGTATACAGAAGTATAAAGGGGTGGCTGTTTTTAGTAACTCCACTGTGCTGTTAACTATTAGTGGCTGAGTGTTGTCAGGATGCGTGCCTGAGAATATGCACACGTTTAAAAGGCCCAGTGTCACACAGGGAATTTCAGGGAGTTGTTATTTTTGTATGTGAAGAAGGGCTAGGACCCCAGTCATATTGTGATACTGACAAGAAGGATCCAAAAGCTTATGAGATTTTACACTTAGATGTCAAGGAAGAAAAGGACCTGACTGCTCACAAGGTGAGCATCAGAGTATGGTGTCAAATCTGAGTAATGGTGTCAAATCTGTACCATCTTCCAGGTGGGATGCAAGCTTTGGGGCTCCACCTCACAGATCCAAGCCAGCGTCTTGTCCAGAACTGTCTCTGGACTCTGAGAAATCTGTCAGATGCTGCAACAAAGCAGGTAAAGGGCTTGTCTGAGGGATCAAGAGCAAAAGTCAACCTAGTGAAAAAGAAGACTTAACTTTTTCTTCCCTCTTTTTCTACAGGAGGGCATGGAAGGCCTTCTAGGAACTCTAGTTCAGCTTTTAGGATCAGATGATATTAATGTTGTGACCTGTGCCGCTGGCATCCTTTCTAACCTTACCTGCAACAATTACAAGAACAAGATGATGGTGTGCCAGGTTGGTGGCATCGAGGCTCTGGTGCGCACAGTCCTCCGGGCTGGAGACAGGGAAGACATCACGGAACCTGCGATTTGTGCGCTCCGTCACCTCACCAGCAGACACCAAGAAGCTGAGATGGCTCAAAATGCAGTTCGTCTCCATTACGGGCTCCCAGTGGTGGTAAAGCTGTTGCACCCACCCTCACACTGGCCTTTGATCAAGGTAAATAATGGTTAAAAGCTGGCAGAACTGAAACTGAAAACTTGTTGCTCTTTAACATGTAACTTTAAAAGTGAAAAATTCTTTGTTTCTATGATGTTGGGGATACAATTTGTCTGCTGGAGAAGTTGCTCCAGTTGCAATTTAGTGTTTTCTCTAGAGAGATCTAAACATATGAGATGAACTGATTAAAAAAAGAAGTCACTAAGAGCAAGCACACCTCTACTGCTCTTTTATTCCCCACCTGTTCCTTACCTGCAGGCTACTGTTGGCTTGATCCGCAACCTGGCCCTGTGTCCTGCAAACCACGCCCCGCTGCGTGAACAAGGTGCTATTCCAAGGCTAGTGCAGTTGCTGGTTAGAGCACACCAGGATACCCAGCGACGCACTTCCATGGGCGGGACACAACAGCAGTTTGTGGTGAGTGCCCTCCCCGACACTGCATCTCTCAAAGTTCTCTCCAACTCCTCGTTTGTCAGTGCACCTCAGCCCGGCAGTGCTTGGGCTAAAGAACTGTTGTCTCGTTTGCTCTAGTTCACATTATTATCTGTGTGCTGATAGCTCTGTCTTGGCAGGCCTCAGATTTTTCTTAAATCAGGATGCTAAAACAAACTCTTAATTTAATAACCTCTTGAGCATTTAATTCTGAATGTTAGAGCTCACAGAAATTCTAGCGCTGCCTACTCTGGCAAGGCAAGTAGTTGTCTACCAAGAAACCAGAAGTCCCTCCTCCTTCTCAGAAGAATGGTTTTCGGAATGCTGTCACAGCTTATTGCATATTTGCAAGGGTGCTTAGACCTGTCAAAGTACTGAGAAGTTGTGCAGGCTCCATAATTATCTCATTGGCTTCCAGGCCAGTGTGACAAGATCAGTCTCAATTGGATTTTTTTATCCTGTTAAATATATTAACAAAGGAGGGGTTTGCTTAGCACAGCAAATGGAAGCAGCATCTACTCCTACAAGAGTGTAGTTAATTCATGCAGAGGCAAGACGGGACCTCTTTGCTACTGTTAACTGCTGTTCCCAGCTTAGTAACTGCCAGGCTAATCCAGGCTGTAGAAAGAGATGGTGTTATCAGAGGGGAAGTTCACAATAAAAGCCACTGAGGCATTCCAGTGGGATGCTTCACTACTGAATTTGGGTGGGTACACTGGCTTGACTTGTAGCAAGGATGTTAAGTTTGAAGGCCACCATTTAGGGAAAGGGGGAAAATGTGCAAGGGATGAGTTTAAATGATTAGCTGGAACTGCTGGTTGGCTTTTTGGTAGTCACTTAAGAAGAGAGTATACAATATCTCAAATTCAAAAATGCCTTTTCTCTCCCTAACCAGGAGGGTGTGCGCATGGAAGAAATTGTTGAGGGCTGCACTGGAGCCCTGCACATTCTTGCACGTGATGTTCATAATCGAATCGTAATCAGGGGTCTAAATACCATTCCACTATTTGTGCAGGTAAGTGAGAGCTCAAGACAGCACTATAATACATAATAGGCAAAGAAATAAAACAGCTCTTGCACTTCCTGGATAGAGGTGTGCTGAAGAGCTCGTTTCAAGTGGAAGAGCTAAAAGAGCCCTTGTGTTTTGGTTGCAGTTGTTGTACTCTCCCATCGAGAATATCCAGAGAGTCGCTGCTGGTGTACTTTGTGAACTGGCTCAAGACAAGGAGGCAGCTGAAGCAATCGAAGCTGAAGGTGCAACTGCTCCTTTAACAGAGCTGCTTCATTCTAGGAATGAGGGTGTTGGTAAGTGAACTTAAGGCTGGTTTCATACTTGTGTTACAAGAGTTGATACAAGTCTTGACCTCTACTAAAATCACTCTTCCTTTCGGCAGCAACCTACGCAGCTGCAGTGCTGTTCAGAATGTCTGAGGACAAACCACAGGACTACAAGAAGAGACTTTCTGTTGAGTTGACAAGCTCCCTGTTCCGGACCGAGCCAATGGCTTGGAACGAGGTGAGTCCTGTGATCTGTGTTAACAGTTCCCCAGGGAGAGCTGACTTCTGTGTTCTCCCTCCTTCCACCAGTGAAGCGTAGATGCCATCAGTGATACAGCCCCAGCTTTGCCCAGCTGTGTGGTGGCTGGACCTTGTTGTCTCACTCTCTATGCTCAGGTGCAGTGAACCTGTGCTAAACAGCCTTCAAGCTGCTTTTTCCCGGCAGACAGGAAGAGTCTGTTCTCTGCTGCTGCAGTGTGTAATGCTCATTATGCTTGCTAGTTTGCAAAGCTGGCTGTATACAAAAACTTTGTACTTTTCTGTGTTGCTTGTCAAAACCTGATGAACTCTGAATGCAAAAATAGAAACATGAGTGATATGAGGGAAGCATAAATACAAAACATACCCTGTGAGGCTTCTATCAAGCCAACAATGCAGGATTAGTAATCTTGGGCTGGGAATTCAACTTGTCCTGAGAACTGAGATTTCAGACTTGAATACATTTGCAGGCTCATTATCACACATGGCATTTTTTCATTTTTTAATGGACTACGCAGTAAATTGAGACCTGTGTGCATGGGATACAGGGAAGGCTTTACTCATTCTTTGTCTTCCCACAAATTCTTCAGATTCAGGAGCCTAGCTTGTCTTGTCTTGTATGTATCTATTACACAAGGGCAGTAGCCTTTAAATTGTACTATTTCAGTGCTTATTTTTCTGTTTTCCTAAAACCTCTATCTACCACAAGAATGGATGGGGGGGAAAGCTAAAATGGAATTTCTCTTAGAGACTGAATTAGACAATTGTTATGCAGGCAGGCAATTACTTCTGTAATTGAACAAATGGGAGAGGTTGCTTCAGAACTCTTAAAAGCTCTGTTGCTGGCTTGGGAATATCTGACTTTCAGGATCGGGACAGGTGTACCTAAGGAGTGTTCCTAGAGCTACCCCATCTTTTTCACTCCCAGACAGAACCCTCCTTCCAGTGATCTGTGGATTCCTAAATCTGGCTGTTGCAGATACTTCAGCTAAAAAGGCATTTCATGTTGACAGCAGTGCTGCAGTGCTCACTGCAGAGGAGTTATTCAGAGGGATTTGGGGAAGCTTTACAGCTTTTTAAACTCAGAATTACTGGTGCTGGCCAAAAGACCCGATGTTAAAACTGTTTTGTAATTCCTTGTGTACACATAGACAGCAGATCTCGGACTGGATATCGGTGCCCAGGGAGAGCCTCTTGGATACCGCCCAGATGGTACGTGTCTTCTGTTCCCCTTGACTAAACTTCCAATTGGATGAAGTCAAGTCATAGGTTTTAAAGGAGAACTGCAACTGAGTGAAGAGTGAATTTACTCTTCAGCAAGGTATTGCAAACTGACAGGCAACTGTCAGGGGAACTGCCAGTTCAAATAACCCATTTCTGCAACACCACTGGCAGCACTGAAATGGGAGCTGTGTGGACATGCAAAACCAGTGTCTCTTGTCTGAGTCCTGTGGGAACACCTCCTGCTGAGCTGTTGTTTCCAGAAATCTTTTCCATTCCTTACAAATGGACTTGACAATTCCAATAGTGCAGTTTTTCTTTAAAACAACAAAGCTGGTATTGAATGCATTAGTCTGTGAGTGTCTATAGATTTGAACACAAGCCTATCCCTAAGGATTCTGAGCTATTTTTGACTAGTCCTTCAGAAGCGAGTCTACAGTCTTGGAGCCTGGTTTTGCTGCAGTATTGTTGAATTTTAGTACTGTTGATTGTGCAGACTAATGGCTTGGCTGGAATCTGCTCGTGCTTCTGACTGCAGTGTGCTTTGTCTGCAGAATCCTACTGGAAGGCTTTTCCGAACAATGGAATAGCTGTTAAGGGCAGGCACCAGATTGTGTTGAACTTGGCTGAACTAGAAAACAATTAGATGGCTACACGATCTCCTCACACACTGATACTTGCAGCTTCCGATGCATCTAACATCTGTTAACATTATGCTTTTTTTCCCTCTGCCACCTTTAACTTTCTTAGATCCTAGCTACCGTTCTTTCCACTCTGGCGGATACGGTCAGGATGCCTTGGGTATGGACCCTATGATGGAACATGAAATGGGTGGCCACCACCCTGGTGCTGACTACCCAGTTGATGGTCTGCCAGATCTTGGCCATGCCCAGGACCTTATGGATGGGCTGCCTCCAGGTGACAGTAATCAGTTGGCCTGGTTCGATACTGACCTGTAAATCATCCTTTAGGTAAGAAGCTCCAACCTTGAATTTAAAAACAAAACAAAAAGAGAAAAACAGCTGACTGGACTGAGGACTTGGTTGGCAGGGAGGGATTGGCTCGACCGGGTCCTAGTGTGCCACAATAACGAATAAATGCTCTGGAAACACACAATGAGCACACTCCAAACTGACTTCTGCCGTGAAGTGTGGAAGTAATTAACTGTAATGTCTCGTGCACCGGCTTCATGCAGTCTTGATGTGTTACAACAGCCATTTACAACTCGGGAGCACTGACACCTGTGTTTTTTCTCTTTGCAGCTGTATCATCTGAGTGAACTTGCATTGATTGGCCTGTAGAGTTGCTGAGAGGGCTCGAGGGGTGGGCTAGTATCTCAGAAAGTGCCTGACACACTAACCAAGCTGAGTTTCCTATGGGAACAATTGAAGTAAACTTTTTGTTCTGGTCCTTTTTGGTCGAGGAGTAATAATACAAATGGATTTTGGGAGTGATTCAAGAAACGAAGAATGCACAAGAAGGAATTGCAAGATGGAATTTATCAAACCCTAGCCTTGCTTGTTAAAAATTTATTATTTTTTTTAAATCTCTGTAATGGTACTGACCTTGCTTGCTTTGGAAGTAGCCTTTCTTTTTGCAGTAATTGTTGTTAGTTTTTTTTAAAGTCTCTCGTAGTATTAAGTTATAGTGAATATGCTACAGCAGTTTCTAATTTTTAAGGATTGAGTAAAGGTGTAGAACACTAATTCATAATCGCTCTAACTGTATTCTGAATAAAGTGTAACATTGTGTAGCCTTTTTGTATAAAAAACTAGACAAATAGAAATGGTCCAATTAGTTTCCTTTTTAATATGCTTAAAATAAGCAGGTGGATCTATTTCATGTTTTTGATCAAAAACTTTATCTGGGATATGTCTGGGTAGGGGCCAGTAAAAACTGTTTATTTGGAACCTTGTATTGGACAGTTTACCAGTTGCCTTTTATCCCAAAGTTATTGTAGCCTGCTGTGATACAGATGCTTCATGAGAAAAATGCAGTTATAAAATGGTTCAAAATTAAAGTAAACTTTTAATTCATTCTGTGTCAAATTATTTCAGATCACAAAATATATATGTGTCTTAAGACATAGTCCTGGACTTGCACAACCACTTTAGTGGAGGGAGCCAAGAATAATTTACCTCTTTGATCCCACTCTGGCATAGTTACCCTTCACAGCCTGGAGGTTTCCTGCTACAGTCCTCGAAGGCACCAGTCTGCCCCTGCTTTGCTTTGGCAGGGTCCTTAGCATGGGGCAGCTCTAGCCAGATGTGAGCCAACTCCACTTGGTGCCAGGCCTGCCAGCCCCACATCTCTCTGGGCTTCACAAAGGGTGAGCAGCCTCAGTTCCCCTCAGGTGCCCTCAGCATTCCAGTGACAGTGACAGCACTGTCCAGGGACAGTGAAAGATCCTTTGCCCACAAGCTCTCAGCTGGTTCCAAGCCCTTTTCAGGTGTCCTCAGCGTTCAGCTGCTGTGCAAGACGAGACCTGTGTGTGACTGGCTTCCCTTGAGGCAGCACCTGTGTGACTGCGAGGGGACAAAGTGGTTCTGAGACTGCCGGCTCAGCCGCAGCCTGCACGTGTGCACCGTGCAGCTGTCACCAGCTCTGCGAGCAGCACTCCAGGCACATCCACTGCAGGCAGCAGTGTGCCAGCAGGAGATCAGAGCAGGCTTTGCTGCGGAGGCTCCTAGCTCAAGATGCTGAGAGCCGAAGGGAACCACACGAGCCTGCTTCCCCTTCTGCTGCAGAGGGAGAGGACTCGCACATGGAATTCAGCTTTGTTGTGGCTCTCAGCCACACCTGCTTATTGGACTTTTACGGTAAAACACTACACCAAATAATAGCCAGCACTTCACTTGTCCCTCTTTCTAGTAACTCCTGCTGAAAGATAGCGGTTTTTGAAGTAATGCAAGAAAACAATTCCTGTAAGACACAAGGTGAAATCTGTTTACCTGGGGCTGTTTGCTTGCATCCACGTACTCTGGGTAACGGGGCTGTCCAAGAGCAGGGGTGTAGCAGCAGCTGTCACAGGCACTGTGCTTGGTGGGTGCACTGACAGACTGACAGACATCAACCACAGCACATGTGGAGAAGAAATTAACTCTACACACCCTGTGAGATCTGCAAGCTCTAGAGGACCTTTTCTAGAGTATCAGCTTTTACTGGGGGTTTGACTAACTGCCAGGGTTATCACCACACCTGTTCTCAAAGAACTGCAGCCAGGAGCCTTGGCAGCTGAGAACAACACCTATGAAGCTTAAGCTGCGCAGTGCTAGGCAAAGGAGGGGCACACAAAAGGCTGCGAGTAGAAACCTGGGTAACATCTATCATCCTTACATACCACACACACAGCCTCTGTGTGATCACAGTGGTTGGTAGTGGTTGCTTGAGGTGAACAATATTGTCTGTCTTGATAAAAAGGTATTTTCTAGTGCCAGTCACAAGCATGAGGTCACCCCTTAAGATGAACAGCCAAGGCAGTCACGTGGTCCCCAACATAAATGAGCATTTCTAACTAGCTTGAAATAGTGAAACACTTTATATTGTGAAGTAACTCTATTATTTATTTCATTTACACTTTTAAACTATCAAATACTTGAGCTACATCATGTAATGCCAGCATAGCAAAGTAGTAACCAAGAATTCATCCTTACAGGGTTTTAAAAAACAAACCACCCCCTTCCCGCCCCTGAACCAGCTTCCCTCCGTTCCTGAGACAGCCCAAATTCTGCCTATGCTGCAGCTCAGATTGCTAAATGCTCAGCTCATGTGAAGATGTTCCTGCAGGACCGAGGTGCTGAGCAGGGTACACAACCTGCACATTTCAGAAGGCTGGTCAAAAATTGTTCACTTGGGAGTCTTGATATTTTCATGTCCCACCGCTCTCAGAATTTCAAATGCCAAGGAGGCAACAGCAATGTCAACGTGAGAGCTAGAAATTAAAAACAGTAACATTTATTAGATGTCCTCAGAGAAAGAAATGTTTTCTTCAAATTCCACATTTGCCTTTATCTATGCTAGAAAATTCTGAGTAGCCATTAACTGCACTCTCTACCTGCTTTTCTGTTAAGCAGTAACATTTAACCAGTGGTTCTGTCCTGTAGCAAATCTTGAGTAGAAATGAATCTCAGCTCAAACTCCCAGTACCTGCTACCTCACTCAACCTCCTCTGTAAAAAAAGGCAGATGGAATTTATCATACACCCTGTGACTCCTCACATGCACACTTGCAGCTTGGCAGAAAGGTGCATTTTCACACACACAGAGCCCTCTGCCTGCAGCGCTGCTCTGCACAGGCAGGCACTTCCACTCCAGGTGTTGCCCACCTCCTGCAAGGAGGATCGACTGCCCCTCCAACCACAGTGCTGCACTGGGGCCCCTTGCTTCCTCACCTAAGGTTTTATTATATAGATTTTGCCTAATTTTTTCTTCTGGAAACACATTTTTTTCCTAGCATTGGAACAGAGGCTCTAACATATTATTCCTAGTCTACAGAACCAAGTCTTTTTAGTTTTTTTGTGGACTGCCATCCCTCATCTATAGCTTAGAAAGGACATCAGCAGACCCATCTGCAACTTCCTTTACTGCTGCTAATGACAATATCTACCAGTACGCCACACTTCGGGAATACAGAGCTAACCAGAAAATCCAAATGATCGGTTCACATTACTTAAGCCAATGTTGCAATAAGCAGCAGTTTAAATCAGTTATCTGAAACAAATTAATCTTAGCAACTGCCTTTACTGAAAAATAAATGAACATGATCCCACATTTTAAAGCATGGATTTGATTCCACGTTGTTACTAAGCAAAATGGGTTGGTCATGTCATTCTTAGAACTGCCTGTTCCAATCAGCTCAGGAAGCATCACTGAGAGAGAGTCTGGCAATCCATGGCTGCTACAGGGCAGCAGGGGAGCACTGAAAGCAGCTTTCCATCCAACCAGCGCCCTTCTCTTAGCACTCGACTGCTTGGCTGGACACACTTCCCTTCTGACACACAGGAAGAGGGAGAGATTAGAAACCTGTCTGTAAGAAATGACAAAGCAAAAAACACTCCTCAAGCAACTCAAACCAGTGGTAATATGTGTGTGGAAGGGCCTGGGAGTTTAGACTACCCTGGGGATGGCTTAGATCCAGGATCTCGGCTGTAGCTGTTTCTAAAATATTTCCAGTTCTGCAGGAGATACAGAGAGGCTCCTTAAAAAGGTTCAAAGCACAGGTGAGGAGACCAAGTTTATCAGGTCACACGGAATATTTTGGGAAAAATGCCACATAAGGAAATGTGAGGAGAAGGCAGAATATCTACATCTTTCATAAATAAATGTCCATTCAGCTAAGTCTGATAAAGCTTCCTAACTCCAGGCTTCCTCTGCCTATCTGTTGCCAATTTATGCATGTCTGAGTCCATTACTGCCCCAAGAAGCAGGCTCAGTCCCTCTCAGCCTCCTCTGGAGGCAAATGGATAGGGATATGTGTTCCCTAAAGAAGGGAAGGAGGGGAAATGAAAATCCATGAGCTCTCAGGGGTTCTCTTATTGCTGTTACAGTGCAGAAGCTTCGCACAGCAGAGGGACCTGGGTCACCTTACTGTATCATAACAGTCCTCAATGGCATCAGCTGAAATTTGATCTGCTGAGCATCTTGTGTTAAAATAGGGTGAATGCTCTTGATTTGGGCTCTGTAGCATGTGTTTTTCTGCATACAGAGACGTACAGACTGTAGCAGGCTACTGAGGAAGCCAGAAAAGCAGAACTCAAAGACAATGACTGGACTGTCTGGTGCATCTAATGCTGAAATGCTACAAACAGAACGAAAGTTATTTCTAGCAGAGGAAAACCCTGTGTTCCCCCACTCTCATTTTCAGTGGTGGTGCCTGTGTCTCACTTGGGGAGAGCTGACATTTTATTTTAGTGAGATAATTTAATGTGTCATACAAAATCCTGTGAGTCAGCAGCTGAGTGTGCAAGCAGGATGCTGACTGTTCTCTACAGGTTTGGCTGGTCCTTGGTGTGCATCTCTTGCACTTGCCACATCCCAACATTTTCTCTCCATGTCTGCCCACATCCCCCCTTCCTTCCAACACACGGTACACACTGCCATAATGCTGAGGAGACAGTTTTCCCAAAAGCCTGCATTTGGGAGGCAAAGAGCACTGCAAAGATTATCCAAGTGTTTCAAAAACTGACCTTAGAAATACAATTTCTCTATGAATTTCAGTTCAACCAGGAGTGAAATGAAGCCCAACAGCCCACAGCAGAAGCATATAATTTGTTTTGAGAGGCAGAGAACAGCCATTGATTCATTCATTCATTCACTCATTCACATATCCAAGGGGGAATAGATAAGGAAAAGTCTATGGAAGATGAGCTAAGCTTTGGCCCATTTGTTAGGACTAGCACCTCTGTTCTTGCGGAGAAGGCCATGGCATTCCCCTAAGTCTCGTGCCTTCTGCAGAAGCTACAGGCATTCTTAAACAAAAGCAGTTCTGTTCTTCAGCCGAACATTTGAAAGGAATCAGATTTCAAGGGCATCAGCCACAGCTACCTTAACATGGGGCACAAACGTTACATTGTGCATGCAGCCCACTCTGCCAAGAACCCCTGACAGAGGGACCAAGGTTTGGAATAAAATAATAAATTAAGAAAAAAAAAAATCCACAGAATCGACACACGCACGGAGCTCGACTGTGAAGCAGCTGGGGATCAAAGCGTGCCGCAGGCTCTGACAGAGAGGACTTGGAGGAGAGCAGTGCAGGGAGGGGGGTCAGGGACAGAAACCTGAGAAGCTCTTACTGCACAGAATTACAGAAGACCGATGCAGACAAAAGAGGAGGCAAGCGCTCCCAGCCCTGGAAATTCCTGAAAGCCTGAGGGAACTCACCTGGCAGTTTGGACCAGGCTCTCTAGAGCCTGGATAAGAGCATCGCCATCATTCTTCAGGCTCTCCAAGTGCTTCTTGTTTGAAGTTATCTGGAACAAAAAGAAAGGACCTTTACCAAAGGCTTAGCAAAAGATTCTTCTCTGTCATTTTTGTGGGAT